AACATCATAATTATTTCGAAGCAAACTGGCCAAAAAATATGTGTTTGAAAAACGCGAATCATCCTAATTTTATTCAAATTTCTTGATATTTATTGTGGTGCCTAAATGTCAGGATGTTTCCAAGGGAGACCCAAATGACCAAGTCTTAAAATCTATCGCCCTGGAGACTTTGCACTTACTGTACCCGGAGCACGAATGGCTACATATTTTCACAGACGGTTCACGATTGGCTGATGGCACTGATGCAGGAGCCGGAGTTTCCTGCAACCTTTTTTCATTTCACACCCCGAACGGTTCGTCTAGAACAGCCTTCGATGCAGAAGTATCGGCAATGAGCGTTGCTCCTTCACAACTTCAGAATCACCTTGAGAAGTTCAATAACGTAGTCATCCTCTCTGACTCCTAAGCCGCACTCCAAGCTATTGCTTCCTCCGAAGCCCCCGCATCTGCCGACATTTTACATTGTCGTCAAGCCCTTCACTGGCTTGACCAACACAACAAAAATGTGGCCATGCAATAGGTACCAGCTCACTGTGGACTTCAAGGTAACGAAACTGCAGATTTCTTGGCCAAAAAAGCCACCAATATTCTACAAATATCTCTTAAACCAGTTCCTTTATACACCGCAAAAAGGCTAATAAAAATCTCTCTTCGAACAACATTTGAGGCAAAACTTCAAGAAGTAAATAAAGATAAGGACTGGCTAGAAGGAATCAAAGATATTCCGTCATGGTCAAGAGAAAAATCTGTGCCTCTTTTTCGCCTTGCTACTGGCCATGACTGTTTATCGAAGCACCTGTGCAGAATCAATATCTTTTCAAGCCCCTTTTGTCCATTATGTAACCTGCTAGAAGAAATGGACGCTAACCATCTGAGACGCTGCCCTGCACTTCCTACTGGGCCCGTGTGGGAACGTTATTGGCGGGCGTTATACATTATAAATGACCCATAGTCTCGTTCTTTTTGTATCTCTTGTTTCCGTTTTTTGTTCTTTCTTTATATTGTTCTCAGCTACAGATTTGTCTTTCATGTCTTCCATTGGAAATAAAAATAAAAACTCTGGTACCTAATCAACTGAAACATAATAAATAAAAATTTTATTTCTTAGACTGTTGCTCAATGTCCAACAATAGGGGCCCGAGAGAATTTTCTCAGAGCAAATTGTCGAAATAAGAATATTTTCATCCTTAAATTTTCTAAGATTCTATTTAAAAGAAGTTGCCAATTGAAAAAAAAAATATCAAGTGAACAAATTACGAGTTTTAATATTTATCAACAGAATTTTACAAGCTAAATTTTAATTTCTACATGTTACGCTTGTTTAGGTGGCATAATTTGTGGTC